TGGGCAGCCATTAGAATTTCAAAATTAGGTCATAAGTAGTTCTGGGAAGGTTTCTTGTAACTTCAAATGGTCTCTAAGTGGCCAGACGTAAAGTAGACTATTATCTGTACTTCCCTTTAGTAGTTATATAGAAATGAAGGCATTACAGCAAGATCAGGAGACGTGGCTGCTTCTAACTTTTCTAGTTGAATTTGCATGAGAAAAAAATTCTATGTCTATTTAATAGTTTATTATACAGTGATTCTTCTACCACTTACTATATATATGAAATATGAGAAATTTTTACGTTATTGCTGGAAAATAAAATATGATGTCCAATATATATGTAACTATATCACAAAAAATCAATCTCTGCTATGCCAGCAAAATCAGAAATTAAAAATAGTTCTCCATATCATTATCAAGCAAGATAATGAATAAATCAAAATTGCAACCATCAGAAAGACTACTTTGAGAAACTGGTTAAGATATTACTTGATTTCAACTAATATGTATTTAGTTTTATTTTCAGTAAGACACACAAAGAAATCCTGGTAGTAGAGATTTCTCTGCAGATTATTTTAGCATTCTTTACGTTATGTCTTTTTGCAATATGCATTTTCTGAATATGAGGCTGGCCAATATATAACAGAGATCAACAAGAGATTATCACATTATCCTAGACAATGTTATGTTTCTGATACATCGAATAACAGTACAGTTTAACTTACAAGCATCATCAGAAAACACCAAGCTGAATCCTAAAGGGCTATTGGTAGCTTTCCTGAATTGAAGATTCTTTTTCAGGAATAAAGAATTGAGAATCATGAAGAAGGGTGCTAAAAATTCTTTTGCTGTGAACTGCACCATTTTTATACATAAGACATCTATTCCATCGTGTTTTCTAAGTCTAATTCTTAAATTCATTTTTAAATAGTGTTCAAGATAAAAAGATAGAAGCTTTAACATATTTTTAAGTAACATATTATATAAGCCAGAACAAGCAACAATTTTCTTTAAAAATGAAAATAAATTCAAATAAGAAAAACAGAGGAAGATTAAAAATGCGTAATTCTTCATCCACTTTTTTTTTCTTTTTAGAAGTCATGCAGGAAAATAGCATACCTTAACAGACAAAATAAAAATATGGAAAATGTTTAGCATTCCTTCCCCTGTCTCTAGTGACTATTTTCTTTCTTTCTTTTTTAAGTCCAAGCATTCTCTGTGTAAGAGTAGCTTATATGGAAGTTAGTATAAAATGTTTTATAGTCATAATGTGTTTTTATATGTAGATATCACACATATCTATGATGGAATTCACATGCCAAGCTTGCATAGATTCCAATACAAATTATGCATTTATCAAACCTCACTAATTCATTAGGATACATTAAAGCTAAAATAATAAATTAGGTAATAATAAAGTTCAATAAATACAATGGGATTTACCTCTCAGCAAACATATTGCACCATGAAGCAACGTTAAACAGATTAAACTAAGTAAAGTATTTTTAAATTCTTCACTATGACTAACTCATCTTTTAAAAATTCAGGTTGTCTTCTACAACAAGCTAGAGTAATCTTAATGACAAAAAATCCTTATTCTAAAAAAGTAGTCTTTCCTTTATTGATTTATTTTAATGCTAATAAAATCATCATGAATGCAGATGGAATTCAACAATACATGAAAGGATACAGCTTCCCTAATTAGTTATATATTGATTAATTATGTATGGACAAAAACTGGTCCTAGAGTGATGTATAATGGCACAACCCAATGAAAATGTAATCCTAATTAAGTTACAGCCTAACCTTATGCTGATTTATACATGAAGTGTACTGAGTTAGTAAGTTTCCAGCCTTATTAATCCATATGCTGCTAAAATTCCAATTACTTTAATTTTAAACTAGGTAAAATGGTGCATATAAACTAAAGGAATGCCTGTTACTTCTGTTAGTAAGCTGAAAAAAACAACATTCCAGAGAGACAAGCCTCCCTTCCCTGGGCTTGGTCATCTTCACAGGAATTGAAATTTGTCAAATTGTACAAAATGTTTTATGACATAAACATAACTATAAAACAGTTTATGACATAATATAAAATGTCATAAAACATTTCCTGGGCTGATGTTTGACTGTACAGTTCAACTTGGGCTATTTTCAAGGCAGGTACATCTCTGAATGGCTGTCAATTTATCCAGTGAAGATAGAATATTAGAAGTTCTGTCAACTGTTGAATTTGGTAAGGGGATATCTCTGAAACGATAAGCCAGCAGATCGTGGGTTGTTTGGTAACATAGATATTACACAAGACTATGATATTTATGCACAAAACTAGAGTATTTTTTACTCAGTATTCTATATTACTGCTGATCTATGCAAATTACAAGTTTGGGTTAGAACGAATACTGGACCAGCCCTGGGAATTTGAGAATTCAGGGCTAACTTGTCAAATGATGTAGGTTTTTTAAAAAAATAATATTACAGAATCATTTATAATTGTGCTTAAAGTTGCTCCACTTGCAGATGTTCTGAAATTAGACAGGACAGGCAGCCATGGTTATTCAGTAACAATCTAGTCAAAAATGTGTGGAACAGAGGCATAAAGCTATCACAAACTGTCAGCTACTGCTTAATAATGTGAAATATTTCAAGTTTGAATTTCTCTGACCTCCTGTAGAGAGATCCCCAACTGCAGTGCTAAAGTATCTGCTCCAGTAACAGAAATGGCAAAGAATGCTGATGAGAGAATATTTAATACATGAGTTCAAATCTGATATGAGGGAGCCAACTGAACAGAAGCAAAATAAAGCATAACTAATGACGGAAAGATTATGTGTATAATAAAACATGGGCTATTTCTATTATACATTTAATGTATATGGCTTTACTGCAGTCATGATACAACTGGGGTTTCTTGGCATTGCTTTATCAGGTAAACCCCATATTACTGTATAACAATGATGCAGAAATGGACTTATTTATTGATCTAACTATATCCCACCTTTATTATTTTTACAAATAATAATAATAGTAGTAGTAAAGTTGGAAGGGACCTTGGAGGTCATCTAGTCCAACCCCCTGCTCAGACAGGAAACCCTACACCATTTCGGACAAATGGCTGTCCAGTCTCTTCTTAAAAATTTCCAGTGTTGGAGCATTTACTGCTTCTGGAGGCAGGCTGTTCCACTGATTAATTGTTCTCACTGTCAGGAAGTTTCTCCTTAGTTCTAGGTTGCTTCTCTCCTTGATTAGTTTCCACCCGTTGCTTCTTGTCCTGCCTTCAGGTGCTTTGGAAAATAACTCAAGGCAGTGAACCTATCCAATATATCTTCCTCCTATTTTTCCCACTCGGGCTCACAAAGAGCAATTGGTCCAAGGTCACCCAGCTGGCTTTCATGGCTAAGGCGGGACTTGAACTCACAGCTCTTGATTTCTAGCTTGGTGCCTTAACCTCTAAACCAAACTGGCTCTCATCTAAAAAGTTTTTAAGAAGGCAAAGCCTGTTTATTATCAGCAGCCTGATTTTCCCGAAAATGTGGGTTATACACTAAGAACTACTAAGCATACTAAGCTTACTTTTTATTATTATTATTATTATATATTATCAAGTCTTTCATTTTTCACGAGGTGCCAAGATTCAGTTCATATGACCAGCAAGCTCATCCTTTACTGTGGCAGTTGATAGCCTCCATGGGTACCATGGTGCCCTGGTGCCCATGGCACCAAGAGCCAGGCCATTAATGCATGCAATAATGCCTTCCTTCTAGCCCAGGGGTAGGCAACCTTGGCTCTTTTATGATTCGTGGACTTCAACTCCCAGAATTCCTGAACCAGCCATGCTGATTCAGGAACTCTGGGAGTTGAAATCCACGAGTCATAAAAGAGCCAAGGTTGCCTACTCCTGTTCTAGCCCTTCAAGTACTGGGGCCTCATTCTATAAAAAGACATCAAATAACTTAACTAACGTTCCTGGAAGTTCATCTAAAGAAATAGTTCACTTATGTATAGGAAAAATGACAAACAGAAAAGTGCTATTCCTGAATCATAATGACCACAATGGCCATTATGGGGTTTGGGGGAATGAAAAAAATCAAGATGGTAGTTACAATCCAATGCATCCCTTTATGTGTGTCACAACGAACATAACAAAGGGGCAGGGCTTCAACTGTGTAAATCACACTGAGAAACAAGCTACCTTCAGTAATATGTGACTTGTTTTAGATTAGGTGTATAGGAGATTATGAAAAATCAACTGAAGATGAAAGAACATTTGAAACAAGTCAACTAAAAATTGTCCCTCTTAATACAGGGTGCAGGAACAGTAAAAGCAATGTATTTTCCAGCTGATGCTAAATTTTAGAAGCTGCTAATTTTGATATTTTGATCTGTTTTGCAATTCTTATGGCTACTGAGACCACCAATAGGTCTCTAAACAGTTATTAAAAAATAAAAGCAGAACCTTTAATTGTAAACAAGTTTGAGGAGAAGACTAACCTATAATAGAAAAACTGTAAACTTTGTTTCACTGGCTTTGAAAGACTTTGGGAAGAGGGCCTTCCTTCCTAATGGAGGGACACACAAGCTAGATGTCAACGCTGCTAACATCGGATGTTTTTGCATTGACAACAGATGGAAATGTAGCCATCTTTTTACTTTTTGCTTTTAGAGTTAGATGATGCTGGGAGGGGGGATGTGAATGAGAGTCCAGCTAGACATAATGTGAGAAACAAGGTTATTGTAACCAGAGCTGATAAGGAATTGGTGGGGTGGAGAACTGGAGAGGAGGATAATTCAAGCTAATTGGGGAATGTGATTTATGACTGTTAATTGAAGGAGGGAATTGTGCTTTGATACTATGTGCTCAGGGGAGGGGAATTCAGTTTTTGGCTTTGATTATGTAGTGCCCATATTATGCTACTCAAAATAAAGATTCTTTAAGATAAACAATGCCTCATAGATCTTTTGAAGAGTTTCATCTGTCGGAACCATGACACCAAAAAAATTCTCAGGAAACCATGTAAGTACTAAGCCATATTTATAAGACATTATCACTCCTTAAGAACAGAAACAATTTCCTATAAAGTGACAGTAATTCTCTATCCACTTTCCTAAATGTCTGTATTAGGCTATAAGGCTATATGGCAATTACATTTAAATAATTTCACATAATTTATAGCACCAATTGCCAAGAACCATTTAATAAGAAGTCTCTTCTTTCTCCCATTCTGTGACTATGTATGTGCCTATCTGTCTGTCTTTTGGAGGGGAAAGTAAAAGAATGGTATCCCTAGATTAAATAAGCAAAAGTAGCTTCAAATAGAAAAACTAGGAAGATGTTAAAGCTTTTATCTTGTATTTAACCAAAATCCTAGTGTAATGTTATGCCAATTCCCTCTTAAACAAGGTGATTCACAGTGAGAAAGCAACAATTTGTTCAGTCCTAGCAACTAAGTTGAAAATCTGTCATCAAGGAAGTTTTAATATGAACATGCCACAATGAAGAAATAACATCTAAAAATTACAAAGCAAGACAAATGTGGGATTATCAGAATTCTCATTAAAACACCAGTTAAAAAAGAAAAAGAGTTAAAAAGAAGCTTTTATCCATAAAAATTCCATCATTACTTCCTAACTGTGATGATATTGCTATTATACTTTTGTTATAAGTATTTTCAGTTGGCACACATTTTTGCCGTTAAACAGCTTATTAAATAAAATATCACAGTTCATATTTCTTCTAGCACACATTCTTCTGAATAGGTATTTTTTTAAAAAAAATATTCTAATTCCATTCAAAGGCAAGGCTCATCATAATAATCTAAATGATAAAATACCATATTAGGAATTAAAAATAACCCATTTTGTATGTAAATTCAACCAAAAAATCCTGGTGACTTTTTGAATTTGTACTGTAACCTTTAGTCTATGTGTTTTTCAAGAAAACAGGTCAAATCCAGTATTATTTTCCATCTTCTTTAACTTCCTTGCTTTAGGTTTTCATACAGAGACAATCACATCCAGATAAAGTCTGTCATAGGATTCCCTGAAGCACAAGATGAGTAGAAGGCTTAGTAAGCAGGAACCTGGGAGGCACCAGTTAAACCAGGAAAATTCTAGTGGAAGAAAAAAAAATAGTTTAGTTATTTGTATAACACTGTACTTCATTTCAATAAAGCAGTAATTCTAAAAACAGGCTCACAATCTAGACTTCACAATCAGTGGTGGGATTCAGCTGGTTCGCACCATTTTGGCAGAACTGGTAGCTAATTTTTTGTTGCCAAGGCTCAGAATGGACTTCCAGGAGTGGCATCCACACAGAGAACCAGTTGTTCACATATTTGAATCCCACCACTGTCCACAATACTTTGGGAGGGGATGGAGAAGTGTTTTTAGCCTCTAGGCTATCTTCAGGTGAAAATCAACAGGCACAAAATGAGTATTTTTTACCAAAAGGAACCGGTCTCATCAACAACAGGCATTGGGAGAAACCATATCATTAGTGACTTCTGAAAGCCGGACTGGGGAGAGGTTTTTTTTTATTAGCTATCATATTTGAAACACATAAAAGAAAATTAATTAAGTGCATAAAATTATGTCTCGTGAAAAAACAAAATTGCAAATCAGAGCGCAGAATTTTTTTTTAAAAAAAAATCTATAATTGGGCTAAGGGCAATGCAACAATGAAAAGTGAAGGAACACCCACTTGGTTCTCTGTTTCTCTAATTCACTCCACACATCTTTAGATCTAAAAATCCTTCCAGTATTACAGTTTAGGTCAATCCTGTATCCACAGGCTAAATATAGTATATTTTCTTGAAGACCTCCATGTTAAAGAGGAAATATGTAACAAACCATTGCTACCAGAGACAATTAGATATTGTAATGAATTAATGGTTAATAATTATTGTATTATTGCTTTTATTAAAGAAACCTACCAGGGAGAACATAGCAATAAAAATAAAGATTAAAAAAAGAAAGCATAGCCATAAACTTTAATACAATTAAGGTGATTGACAGACAGTTAGACAAACACTTAAGAGGGCCCGGTTTCAACATCATTAGCATTAGTAGTAGAAGAGGTGTATGCAGTCTACCTTGGTGAATGAAACTCTGAATGAAATACGTCACACTGGCAAATTTATGAGAGCAAGCATTCAAAACACTTCTTACCTTTATGGTAGAAACTAAAGAAAAATAAAAGAACCCCCATGAACATGTTATTTAGGAAGGTGACCACGCCACAGGTAATCCCTTCAGGAACAGGATAGACCGTTTCCACAAAAAGTTCAAAGAAGATAGGGACGCTGCTGTTCAAGAAGACACCCAGCAAAATGCAGGAAGTATAAAGTGTGGCTGCAATGAAAGTAAAAGTTCAGTGATTCTGCACCACCAACTACTGTACAGTTTTATAATAATAATAAATTGATATGAACCATTCTGATCAGATTTTTATAACTTTAAATATAAGACATAAATGGGGCTTTCACATAATGATGTTTTAGTAGGCTAGGAAAAGAGAAGACCAATTTGCCAACCATAATTGTAGATCTATAGTATGTAGATTTTCTGCTAGCAATAGAAACACAATAATTAATACATCTGAGCCAGTGTGCCACAAATACAATCCAAGCCTAGTTTTATACCACACACATGTATGTGTATTCTATGCAAGCCAGAATTTCTAATTTGGAAATTACCTCGCTAGCCAACATACAATTGTCATATCCTACCATGCATAAGTTACTTATTGACATCGTGAAAAAAGGGATAGAATCAAGAATAGGTACAGATTTGCAACGAATATGTGTGACCAATGCAAGAGATAAATAAATAGAAGTGGTTTGGTCATATAAAGGGATAAGACCAAGAAAGTCATGGCTGGATGAAGTTACAAGTCTGTCAAAAAGAGAAACAGAACCTTAAAGGTCAAAAGGCAATAACACGAGTCAATATATCAATGTGGTAGAAACAAAGATGATTTAGAAGGACAAAAAGTTACAGAGAGGTGTACTGTAGAATGTAAACCAGATTTAGCTATATTTTCTTTTTGTGTTTCTTATACTGTATAATTAGTTTTGTTCAGGGCTTTTTTTCTCATAGAACGCCCAAAATGGAGTTTTTTGGATGGAACCTTGTAGGGTAGGCAAGGCGGGTTATATGATGTGTGTGAGTTCCGGCATCTTTTTTTTTTTTTAGAAAAAAAGCACTGGTTTTTTTCTTATTAGTGCTCCTATGCTTTGCACAGGGTGGCTTATGTAAAAAGAAAATAGCTTGAGGCATACAGTATACAGATGTGTGGGGGTTTTGTATGTGTGGCGTAGCTATATTAGTTGAGTATGTGTAAATTTGATCCAATACATTTGGTCCAAATATGTGCAATGATATTTTGTACAATCATAGCTACCTGAATGACAGAAAGCATGTTACTTTGTTCACATAATATATAACTGAGTAGTCCGGCTGTAGAGAAAAAAACCTGAAGTTTCTGAATCTATCTTCTGTAATTGAGCACAAGGATTAAGACATCATTTTTATTTCTCTTCGTAATGGGCAGATGTCATCCTGTCATTTGTATATGCTCACTTAATGAGCAGAGAACTTACTGGTGGACTAACAAGTGGCTCCAACTGAAAATATCTGTAGGCATTTGTGCATCTATGCATAGAAATGTGTACATATTCTCAGAACTATTCTGACATCCTTTAGAACTCATTTATTGCAAATATATCACAAGAATAAATGAGCTGTTACACAGTCAGGCCTGCAAATGTTTTTGCTCTCTTGAGTAAATATGTCTCTGATAGGCATTGGCTAGCTTAAGCTTCTTATTCAGAACAGAAGAAAACTACATGAATACCATCTAATAAAAATAATTTCCCAATTTAGTAATATAATTCATTGTCAGATTTCTAAACTCAAGAGGCCTCATGTTTTCCATGACTGAACATTCTAGTAGTGCTTAATTGAAAGAGCCCAATTTAATATTTTTCCACAGGCTCTTCTTGTACCAGAATAATATATAAATAGCGGAGCACACTCTCAACAAGTTTTGTGCTTTTCCTATTTCTGCTGCAGCAATTGCTCTGGTGAGATAAAGCTAGATCATCCAAAGCAAAGCAAAGCAAAGCAAAGCAAAGCAAAGCAAAGCGAAGCAAAGCAAAGCAAAGCAAAGCAAAGCAAAGCAAATGAAATCAACAAATATGGTCTCATATGAAGCAAAATAAATTTCTTGATAGTCCAAAATAAAAACCTTAGCTTCTGTCCTGGGCTTTATAAGTTATTAAGAAGAATGTTTATTCTTTTCCTCGGCCTACTCATTTTATTGGATGGATATAAACAATAATGGTATCCCATCCCAAAGCACTATGTGTCTGCTTTACTTAACTAACATAGCTCATTTGCATACAGAAAGGTTTTACTGTTTAAAGAATTACCGTAGGTCAGAGGGTCTGAACTGTAGATCCTTAAGCTGAAGCTATTATTATAAAAATGTCACTTATTTCTTAAATGTAAACATCTATATTTATTTAACTCCAAATAAATAAGCAAACAGAACTTACTATTCTATAACCAACCATCAATTAATCCTTCATGCTTTAAACACCAAAAATAAGAATTGGTTCTAGTTTGGGTATTATGGTCAAATAAAATTTTAATTACTGAGTTCATAGGTCCTAGTATCTATTAACAAGAATACCTAAGTTTGTGTAGATATTCTCAGAATATGTATCTGGTTTGATGAGAAGGGATGGGGGAATTTTTTTATAATACAATCCCAAACTAATTTAAAAAAGTGATCAAGGATGCAGAATGTTATTTCAAAGAGCTCAAGTCAACTGTAAATTATGCTATGTTTATAGTAGTTCACGTCCCATAAATATTGCCATGTATAAAATGACCATTAGGTTACGTGGAATATAGTGTCTAGACTGGGAGTGAACTTGGCCATTAACAACAAAGTTTAATTCTTCTGCTACTTTTTTTAAGTTCTGTGTTCTTTCATAGCTAGAAATAAAATTTCTTGTGTTGCTGGAAGACACATTTGCTAGAAGAGTCGAAGAGGAAAAACAAAATATTTGCTTTCTAATAAATCTGGCCTTCAAAGACAATATACATGTTCCAGTGGACTCTCGAGAGGATAAGAGAAAAAACAGATTAAATTCAAAAGCTCTTTTGGGATAGGGGAAGGCTAGACTGCAAAGTTGCAATAATGTCTCTATCATGGAAAATATAAACCAAAAAACAAATGTTTAACATCTCATTTTCATTGTGGAAACTTTGCATCTAGTGTTGTCCTAACGTAATTAAACAGTTAAGGCAGAAGGCTTTTTATAATTGAAGGCTAGTGTCCTTCCCCACAGTTTCAAGTCCTAATCAATAATAAGTCTTGAATGATATGTCAAGATTGGTTCAAGTGGAGTATTTTGCCATTGTTAAATCTGATGAGTTTGGGGGGAAAAGGAAAAAATATGTAAACTAAAAAGAGTTCATCTAGCTGGTCCAATCTCCCCTTCCTATCCATTTCTAATTCCTTTATGTAGTTAATCCTGAATACCCCCCCCCCAAACACAGACATACACACAAAAATTCCACACCTGTCCTAGAAATATCTTTAACCTCATGAAATCTTAAGCAAGCTGAATAATATTGAATAATATTGTCTCCTTGAGAGTGGCACACTGAAAATGACTCCCCTTCTCTAATATATGACTTAAGAAAAATAGAGATTGAGAAGCATAGGAGATAAGGCACAGCAGCTTTTCTTTTTAACATGGGTTTGATTTTTTTTTTTAATCCAGGAAGAAAACCTTTTTTTTAAAAAACAAAACAAAACAAAAACATTTCATGTTGAGAAAAACAATATGGAAAACAAATTGCCTGGACTTTGAATAGAACAAAATAGGCTAGCTTTTATACATATTATGGCTTTCATTTATCTTTTTGTCTTCTATACCAAGTCCAAGATTTTTCTTAACTGTGAAATCATTAGCAGAGCTAATAAGTCTTTCAGTAATCAATTTATGGAAGCAGTCTATTAAGAGCAATGATAGCAACCAATTAATTCTAACATATATTGCAATACTTTACCTTGAAGTGTCTGGTATTATAGGTAAAAATAATTGAATACACTGACAGATGTGATTTAAGAAAGTCACAATTTCTCCCCTTAACCTTTGTTTCATTAATGCCTGAGGGAGGGACTTCTGTCTTCTATACTGTATTTTCTAATGCTCAGCCTTGCACCCTCCAAATATGTTGGACTGCAACTGCCATCATCCCCATGCAACACAAGCAATGGTACCAGAGTGGAGAAGGCTATTAGGTTGTATATTTTGGGTGTACAGACTTCGAAAATGTTTACTGAAAAGCAGAACCCAAACTTCTAAACACACACTGCAACTATGTCAGTTGCTATCTTGTGCATTCTTCTTTTTTCTAAGGGCTGGGAAGGGCTCGGTCCTGCTCTACAAGGGCTAAAGACTCAAAAACTTTCAATTAATTAAGAATATAGTTTGTTTATTTATCAAGTTCATATAGCTGCCCATCTCACAAAAAGTGACTCCAGGGGACATACAGCAGTTGAGTAAAGCAATAAACATATAAAAAAGACAATCATTAAAAATATAAAAATCATTAAATATAACCACCAGAAGGCATAGGAGGAGTGAATAATAACCACAATGATCTTAGAATGTCATTGGTTCCCTGGGATCCCATGATGACATTGCCAGGTCTTGAGGGACTTCCTTGGAAAGTAGTTATTTAAATAAGGACCTATTTGGGGAAAAATGTGAGTTTACTCAGTTTAAGTAATAGTAAATTACTTGAGGGTGCAAACAGATCTAAACATATGTCCTTCTCACACATCCAAAAACACCAGATGTGTCCAAGTGAGGACAGGATATCACAGCCTTCGTCAACCAGAAACAGGAGCTTCAGCTCCCAGAATTCATAGCAATGGCTATGCTGGTGGGGGTTACATTTGGAACTTGACGTTGTTCCTTATTCAACCGGCTCTTGAGAAAAAATATTCTGGAGCAAGGAGGCCAATAGGAAAGTTCAAGTTATAAAAGTTTGTCTTCTTAGAACTCAGTACTATTTTAGCTTTGCTATACCAGTAATAGCCAAGAGATGATTCATGAGTTAATTCTTCTGCAGTCCGATTGCTGCTTGAAATTGTGGTGTGTATTAGCCTTCTCTATGGCCAGCTGGCTGCCACCTGGTACAGAATTTATTACTGCTTTTTATAATGGGATGAGGGAAAGGAGGAGGAGGCTGAACTGAAGAAAGGGATTTGCCTCCATAACAATTGAATCCATGAGCTTAAGGGAAGCAGGATATCCTTCATAATG